GCTCGAGCAGACGGCGCGCGCGGTTGCGCATGCGCAGCGACGTGTACGTAAAAGAGGCCCCCGAGGTGGCGTCCTGCAGCGAGGCATCGGCGCCTTGGCCCCACGACCAGATGGTGAAGCAGATGCGGACGGCGTCCTGGAAGGCGAGGAGAACGGTGAGGCGGTCGTTGGCCGTGGCGCTGCGCGTTTGCGGCGCATCTGTAGAAAACAGGGCGCCGGAAACCATGTTTCCAAAGAAGCCCTGAGGCTGGTCCGGGCTCTTGTTCACCTGCGCCCTGGCCTCTTCAGCCAGGAGCGTGTCGTGCCCGCGTGCCAAGACCTGCTCGAGGCCATTCAGGAGGGAGATGAGCGTCGTTTCGGGGCCGACGACGCAGTGGACGGCTGTCTGGTCCGAGTCTTGAAAGAGCTCGCGGAGACTGTTGAAGGTGTTGCCAATCTGGGCACATAATGTCTCGACCAGAGGGATAAGGACTTGGAAGATGGAGTCCGAGTAAAGCGGAAGGCATTCGCTCAGGAAGCTGATCCAGCTGTCGAGGACAGGTCGGCTGCTTGGGGAGCTGAGCCCGGCCAGTATACACTTCAGCAGCGTTGGCGGGGTCTGGGGCTGCTGTTCTGGCGATAGGGAAAGCCCCAGCCCCTTGACGGGATCCAGGCTCGCCGCCCGTTTTTCAGCGGTTGGGGACGACGGAATCTCGACCGGGGCCATCTCGCGTAGCTTCAGCGAAGCATACACCACGTCGAGAAGCAAGACTTGCACATAGGGGTCGGGGCCGCTGAGAGACCGGGTCAACCTGTCAATAAGGAAGCCTTCCAGGCGAAGTCTTGCAAGGGGCTCGGCGTATGGATTGAGAAGAATCTGCTGGAGGAGCGTGAGGGTTGCGCGGTTGAACTGGGAGACGCGCTCCTCATCGCCCGGCGCAATGGTATTGTTTGTCATGCATCGAAGGCAGACATGGAGGAAGAACTCTTGGAACGTCACATCATCACCGTGCCCAGCTGGGTTCGTTAGACCGGGGTGCCGGGGAAGATTGTGGAGGGGGGGAACTTGCTGATTTCTGAGAGGGGTGGGAAGTAAGCCGTGGATCTTATGGTCTTCTTCGCGAGGACGGCCCACACAGGCTCTGGAGACCATCGGAGGACATTGGACAGACAGCGGATGTAATACAGGCCAAGCTCGAAATCGTCGTCTTGTGTGACTTGCAGCGTGTTTTGTGGTGGCTTTGAAGCACCTCGCCTGAGGAACGGAAACTCGGCAAGCCTGGAGATGAAGATGGTGAACAGTCTACACACCGGGTCAGCATTTCGTAAAAGCAAGCTCTGTGGGAAACCTACTTGTCCATGCCAACAAGGCTGTTGAGCCAGGTTTTGACAGTCATGAACAGCTGTGTCTTCTCGTCGGTCAGAGCGTCCAGCATCAAGAACAGCGGCCGAGTGAGCATGACTTCGTAATTGTCCATGCCGCCCAGTCGAGGCGGTGACTTGAGGTCGCCATTTGGCGTTTTCGGCCCCCTCCTGTCCGCTCCAGTGGGGTTGTCCTGGAGAGTGTGAGACCACAGGATGCAAAAGCTCCGGCCTGGGTCCGACGAGCGTTGAGCAAAGGTGCCGACGATATCTTTTTGGAGCATCAATGTGCAAATGGCAGCTTCGATGTCTCGGTTCGCGGGCGTCAGGGCAGTTTGCAGAACCCACAAACTCCTGACCGTTTCTACATGGTATTTCGGTTCCAGTGCGGAGAGAAAGGACCAGGCATGGCGAAGCAAGGGTGTTACTAATTCGGAGAGCTGGTGAGTCGATACCCGGTTCGCCATGTAAAGGTGCGTTGAGAGGGATAAGATGGACGAATATGTGACAAAGGGCACCACCGCCTCGGCGAGGCAGCCGTGCAAGGAGGAGAGGAGCTGTTCGGTGTCGAGGAAGGACTCTTGCGGGGTCTTGGAGAGCAAAAGCATGAGGATGCGGCTCTTTACGGCAACCTCGGCGATGGATTCTCTCCTGGCGAGACTTGAGCAACTCAACTCGCATGCTCTTTGCAGAAGCAGGTCTGCTATGTCTAGTGGCGCAAAAGGGGCTGCCTCAAGGCTGCCTTGGTCAGTTACGTAGAAATTCCGTATCTTCTTCAGCAGTTCGGTGTTGGTAATGCCGGTTAGGATCTTTGGTTCCATGCTTCGACTCGGTTTGCCCGAGCTGCCTGCCGTGAAAGCCCTCTCGGGTACAAGCTCCAGAAGGGTCCCAGCAATGTCCAACGCCTGCGTCGAGAGCGACGCGCCAGAGGCCGGGCGGCTGTTCGCAGGCTTGTCCTTCTCCTTGGACTCGGCAACCATGCAGAGAACGGAGAGGGCAGTGAGCGGTGCATGGATGGTGATCATGTCTTCGTCCTTGACGTTGAAGTGCGCCAGCATGAATTTAGCCAGTTCGAGCTTGGAGCTGCGATCAACTCTCTCGAGATCCCCTGGCCCGATCGCCCGGGCCACGAGAGATAGAATCTCATTGTATATTATGTCGCTCTCGACACCATCGAAAAATGCGCTGGCACTGCGGAGGACCTCGACAAAGGCAGCCTTGTTGGGGGCTGTGGCTTGAAAGTCCCTAACGCTGTCGACGGCGGGAAGGAAGATATCAGGCACGACCAGATCGCTGAATTCCCTCTTGTCCATCAATGAGAGAAACACACGATATGGTCTCGCTCTTTCGGCGGTGTTGCCGCCAGCACTCGACTTAATCATGGTCAGTAGGGCCCGTGTAAGAGGCTGCAGACCGTACTCTTCAAAGTAACTAGCGCCAGAAGAGAAATAGCCCTGCGCGTGGCCGGTGGTGGAGAGGGGAGACTCGGGGCCAGCTTCGGTGTCGGCGGAAGCCGACGGCTCGGGGCCTAGCAACCAGGCCCAAAGTCGGCGGTTCAGGCTCGTCTCCTTCCGGATCGTGACCCCTACGGCGGCCCTGAGGAGAAGCTCGAGGTCACCGGCCTTGGCCCTGGATTTCAGTACTTTGGAATGCAGAGGCAGGTGTGTGACCATCAGATCCAAGTATCCACGTTGGATGAGGAGCTGCTCGTCGGCCAGACCGGCAGCAAAGCATCGTATGAGAAGTCCGGGCTCCGGGGTTGTTACCAGTTGCGAGAGCTTCCCTGCGAGAGTCGCATCTGTACCATTTCGCGAGTCTCCCCCTGCCGAGGACTCGGCGGACAAGGTATGGCCGAGGTGAGGAAGGGAGCGTACAAGGTAGGCCAATGCGCCCGTCCTCCTCGTGTGGCCGGTGATTGCCGCCAAGAAGAAGCACTGCCAGAAGAAGTCGTCGCCCGAGGAGTGAACCGGTGTCAGCTCCTGGCCATGTGACGGGCGTATGGCCAGTTTAAAGCGTTCCACGAGCTTCATGGTGCGCTCAAAGTCTTCACTTGTCTCTTCCTCCAGCCCTGGTAGAAGCGCAAGCACAATGGACTTCACGGCAGGTCGCAGGGCGCGGGGGTCCAGATCCACAAAGTACCGTTCGAGGAGGGCCAGAAAGGGCGCCTTGACCGTCAGAGAGGCGAAGGAGAGGACCGAGGCGAGACCGGGGAGGTACAGGGGAAGGTCCCGGGAGAGGCCATCCCGGCCGATGACGGAAAAGACGTAGCTGTAGACCTCGAGAGTTTTCTGGTGAACCCCCGAGGGCAAGGAGGGGTTGAGACACTGCGACAATCTCTTTGCGACGGTTGCCTTGGCGGGTATTGTGTTTATCGAAGGCTGGCGCGCCTGGAGAGCCTGGACGGAGAGGAGTGTTAGCGTCTGGTCGCATGAGCGAGGGCCTGTTCATCGGGGGGGCTCGCACCTTGAGAAGGCGGTTGAGGAAGGAGATGTAATCTGCCCATTCTTGCAAGGTAGTGTCAAACAGCGAGAGGGCTCGGTCGACGCCCGAGGCATACTTGCGGAAGCTCTTGTCCTTGGGCGCCGTGTCCTCTGTGGGCATAGCATCGCTGGTCAGCAAGGCCCGTCCAGCACCGGAGGCACCGTCCACGTTCCCCCTCCCCCCTCCCTCTGCCTTCCTACCTTGGCCCAACTGGTTCCTCCACTGTTTCGGGACGGGTGATTCGCGCCCAGAGCTCTCTGGCGATATAGAGCGACGGCCCGGTTCAAGCGCCATAGTTGGTGGGCAGACAGGACGAGACGAGGGTCCCCGTGGTGGCCGTGTCGCTGCAGCTCATTGCTGGTGCTCGGCCGCTTCGGTGTCAGGGGGGTCGCCGGATTGATGGCGTCAAAGAATCGAGGGTCGGGTCAGGTTAGAGTCGTCGTCACGGGTGCGCGGCAGGGCGTGGGGCTACCGTGTTCTGTTCCGCTGTGCGGCGTTGGTGCATCTCGAATTGAAGCTCGCTGGAGTCGTCGACTCGGCCCTGAAGAGCCACTGACGCGCAGGGCTCAGGCAGGAACACGCTGCAGCAGACCCTGTAACGAGGGAGAACAGCAGGGCTGCAGGGGCGTCACATGATTGGCCCCCATGACCCCGCCCCCAAGAGCTCCCCCTGTCATTGTCTAGGCGGCCCCACACTCGGGCAAGTCTCGGGCTCCACATCGCCGGTATATGGCACAGGGCCGGCTTGCATCGCCGTGGGTATCGGATTTCGGCACCGGGCATCAATCAAATCATTGATTTCGGCTGAAATAAGAAAATAAGGTGCTTTGTGGGTACTGAGAACAGCCACCCATCTCCATCCGCATGTCGGTACACTCCAGCTCTGGTTTGTTTGTTAGCGCGAGACATGGGAGGTACGAGCCAAGGCCATCTAACTGTCGATGGAAGCCCTGAAATCGGAACATGAGGCCTATCGCTCTGTCAACTAGGCCTTACCAGGACCGAATCGGTCTCGCGCTAAAAAACAAACCAGTATTAGATTGTATTCGGCACTTGGTTCTGCGTCGAGCCCGTCTTTCACTTGTTGACGCGCGTTATACCACAAATCTACCTACTTGAGCTCTCCTCCTCAGCACCTCCACACCTCATCCACAGTCGGATTCAGTTCCAGTCTCAAAGGTTGAATGGTGTAGTTGGTTATCACGTCAGTCTAACACACTGAAGGTCTACGGATCGAGCCCGTGTTTGATCATGGTGAGGCTGTGCGGCCGTGCTGGTCGTCTTTTTTGCCTGCGTCTGCCTTTTCTTCTTTTCTCTCCCATCGTCGAGGGGGGGTCGAGTGACTGGGATAGATCCCATGTCGAAAGGACTGATACATATCCGTGCATTGTGCCCGGCTCGTCCGACTTGGTATCAACTTGCAGGCTCAAGGTGTTGCTCAAGGAGAAGAAGGGGGCAAGACGTTGTTGGTTACCAGAGCGAAACTAGCGTGGCAAAAGGGTTCTGAAACCCGAAATGCATCGCTGAGACTGTTTGTTGCAGCGTCCGTTTACTCCTGCCCCCCTGTCTCTTGAGATGCGACAGACAAACAAGCAGCCTGAAAGTCCCAGGATATCGGGTTAGATTCCGGGTTGTTCGGCTGTGAGTCAAGGTGGGGGGGGAGGTATGCTACTTTGATGAGTCCCGTCTGGACAGCGAACATCACGTTGCCGTATATCTGTTTGCTTCCAGGACGAGAAGGGTTCCGGCTTTTGCTCCCGTGAAGAAGTATGCGGCCGGCCGCATCTGCCCATTTGGGGCCGTTTGTTCGTCCTGTCATGCCGAGGTATATATGCTCTCTCTCTGGCTGGCTGTTATCCGACAAAATCTTGTTCCCTCACCGGCAGCAAACCTTCCTCTCCATCATTTGATTTGGTTTGGTGTTGAGCAATCAGCATCCCAAGTCAAGGTACGTCTTCCAGTTAGAATGGTACACTGAGTTAGCTTATCACTAACTGATCACACCTATCAGATGAACTGGTTGCCAGAACTCCTCCCCCCTGTCTCACCAGATGTTACCCATATCGACTCCATCATCCGCGGCCGCTGGGTGAAAGCGGAATCATTGCGGAGAGCCTACCGACATGCAGCCAACAGCACCACGGACCTGGATCTCCAACACGACGCGGTATACCGCAGCCTTGAGAGAGCGTTCAGTGTGGCGTGCATGGAGGTCACAATGTGGCGTGGCATGCGCCAGCAGTCTGACAGGCTGTTGCCCTTTGTCAAGCCGGGCTCTCGCCCGATTGACTACCAGGAAGTCATTGATCTGGCGTTGCGTGATGCCAAGCATCTAGAGGGAATGTTCCAGAATCCTGCTGGTATCACGCTCCCCAAGTCGGGCATTATTGCGACGGTGTGTCGGGTACGTCTCGCAGGCGCCCGGACAGCGGAGGATTGGGTCACTAAATTCGGGGTCCAGTTCCATTGGAGTTCATACAAATCATCTTTCTTTCCCGCCCGTATCCAGGCACTGGCTCAAGCATTACGGTCCGGATGCCCCACGGTGGGGACAATCAAGCCTCATATGCGCAGCGGCGTATTTGTGCTGTTCCATGAGTATATTGAGAGGTTCACGGCAGACATGAGATTTGCTTCTGATGCCGACGAGGCAGGAGGGCTTTTGGTTGATGCATGCCTGAGCTTGGTGGGAACTGTCTTTCAACAACGGGCTGATACTCTGAACGACTGCGCGGCTCAAGGGGCAAGGGAGCAGGAAGATGACCCATCTCTGGACAGCGGTTGGTTCGTGGGGGTTGGCGTTATGGTGTGCCGCCATTGCGGAAATGGAGACCCTATTGGTCAGGTCAGCAAAGACGTGTATGCGGGAAGAGATAAATGCGAGGTTTTTGAGGAGAAGGAAGCTGAGCCGCGGGAGGAGACAGATGGATGGGAGGAGACCGTCGATGACGAGGAGCAAGAGTCTGGTTGGACGACGATTTGTCGGGAAAACTAGACGAGGTCTACCTTGAACCCCCCATTCGACAATCACCAGGGAGAGGCGCGAACTGGAAAGGTGCTTGGTACTTATGTTTCTCAACTGTGTTTTCGTGGGCTGCAGGTGTTCAAGTAATGGTATGACGCTGATGTATTTACTTCTGTCAGTTATGGGCTTGGCATTCAGGGGGTTGGAGGTGGAGGTAATTCATTGACCGCCATTGCAACAATTTTCGCGGACTCTCAACAGCCCGTTGCATTTTACTGTCGGAAGGTAGAATAAGAAGAGTCGGATAGTGTCTCGGCGGAGGATGTGGACACTGGCCGGGGCCTCGGAGAATGTTTATTGTTGACCGGCAGGGAAAGGCACCGAGACATCCACATAGATGCAGTCCGGCCGGCAGCCATGTTGGTGATCTGACATAGGTAGCTCTCAAGCCAAATGATAAAAGTACCGCCCAAAGTGGGTGCCAGATGCTTGGTCGGAGGCGGTGCTGTCGTACAGAGGGTGTTGTAGCACACATCTGAGGGCTGGACAGGTGGTCGGGCGACATAAGCCGGTTCGATAGACTTGTCGTCAACACCGACCCGGAGGCTGAAGAGGCTTGGAGGATCAGGTGGTGGCTGTTCCCCAGGCTGAAATCTCGGATTTGAATGATTTCATTGGGCCTGCGGAACACTGTGGTCATGATGGCGTTGACTGGGAGAGCTTTCCCCGACGTTGAGCTGAGGGTTTGACGATGGGGACAGCACCCAAGGGGCCCGCAATTCAATTTCCATACCAACTCGTCCCTACCAAGATAGATCTGGACGCTGACAAGATCTTCAGGTCCAACGACGTCTGTCTTCTTCCATCCTTCCTCTTCATTCTTCCTTTTGATCCATGAGCAGCCCGCCAGAATATCGCGCTCGAAATAACAATCGATGGGACGCACCGTGGAAACTTCGTATCCATCCCGAACCGCCACCGCACTCTCACCGGACCATGGTTACACACGACACGTCGCCCTGCGAAACCCAAAGCCACCAACTTTCATGGTCCCCTTCGAGTGCCAAGAAGGGTGAACGCACAAATCCACCGTACACGACGCCCTCCAAAGGAGACGAAAACCTCGATATGGTTCTACTCGGGCTGACCCACCACGTTCTTGCCAGGATTCCCCGTCTCCCGCCCGGGGCCTGCGAACACCACACTGCGTGGTCCGACTGGCTCTTCGACATGGCCTCCCATTTTCCATGCTCTGCTTGAAGGTGCCGGAGAGGCTTGCACTCTTAGACATTCTGTGTGCCCAACAGCCACTTCCTATTGAATCTTTGGTGTCGGGTGACGCCATCTCGACGTCTCCCGTCTTCTCGGTCTGGCCAGGACCCGAGAAACCCACTGGTCCGGACGAACTATCACGGCCATCGCCTGTCCCAGGGTCGGTAGAGGCCTCGATGGACCCGAACCGGGAGAGCAGGACTCGCTTGTGGTAAACTTCCGGTAGCACTTCTCGATTCATTTGCGCCGTTGGCTCTCCGGACAGCCCGGCCTATTGATATGTGACGATTCTGTGCCCTTCATTGTCAGCCCTCAGACTCTAACGAGATGGCGGCAGTGGTATATCTGCACGCCTTCCACGCCCCTCGGTTCACCGATCCTCATCTATCAGATCTCTATCCCGCCGCTCATTACTCTCTGCCAGTGTTGGAGCCAGGTTCTGGCCCCCAGGCATCCTGATCATGAGGCTCACATTCGTCTTCTCTTTATCTCTTGTCCTCTCTTGGGTAAGAATTCTCTCTGAGAACCGACTTGTTACACTGTGACTGACGGATGCACAGGTTTCTCGTAGCGTTGCCCAGCTCAACATTCCCAGTACCCTCCCAAATGGATGGGTTTCTCAAGGATGTTGGACAGATGTTCAGGGGAGGACCATCGGCGCGGCGGGGTACGCCAGTGCCATCGCCATGACAATCGAGTCTTGCGTTTCATTTTGCGAAACCCGCGGCTTCGCCTACGCCGGCGTCGAATACTCGACCGAATGCTTCTGCGGTAATACGCTGGCCCCTGCTGCTACCCAAGTCACCGCCTCCGCTTGCAGCATGCCCTGCTCTGGTGACGCTTCACAGCCTTGCGGGGGGCCAAGCAGACTGAATCTCTTTCACTCCGCAGTCGTCTCTGGTCCCCAGACCAACCCCGCCGTGAATGGATTCATCCACATGGGTTGCTATTCCGAGGGGACGACAGGCCGGGCTCTCACCCACGGTGTGAGCGGCGCTGTCGTCCCCGGGGTACAGATGACCGTCGACAGGTGTACCGCCGCCTGCGCCAACGCCGGCTTTCTCCTCGCCGGTGTCGAGTATGGAAGCGAGTGCTTTTGCGGCCACGTCATCTCCAATGGGGGCGCACCGGCAACTGGATGTAACATGGTGTGCAACGGGAATAGCTCCGAGATATGCGGAGCTGGGGGTCGTCTGAATGTCTATACAAGAGGAACTCTGCCTTCGACAACGGCAAGGTAAGCCAAAATGGGACTCTGGTGCCTTTTGGAATGCTGACAGTAGCTAGCACGGCAACGGCCAACTCGTCGTCGACGACGACACAGACTAGATCAATCCCCACTGGCCCGAGCCAGCCCGAAATCGTCGGCAACTACGTGTGGGCAGGATGCAGAACTGAAGCCACGGGCAAGCGAGCTCTGAGCGGCGCAGCCTTTGCTTCCGACACCATGACCCTCGAAGCCTGTCGCGAATTCTGCTCCGCCTTCGCCTACTTTGGTGTCGAGTATGCCCGGGAGTGCTACTGCGGAAACGCCTTCAACACCGGGTCCGTACTGACTGTTGCGTCGGACTGCAGCTATACCTGCTCTGGGAATCCCTTTCAGTACTGCGGACAGGGAAACCGACTTTCAGTCTACCAAAAGGATGGCGTTCTTCTGACATCGTCAACATCAAACCCGCCAGCTTCGACCACTTCGCCACCCCCTGTCATCACAGGACTCCCCGACGGGTGGACAGGCCAAGGGTGCTGGATCGAGAGCGCCCCCGAGCGCGCTCTACCCTACCAGGTGTCCGATAGTCAGCTTAACTCGCCTGCTGTGTGCGCCAACGCTTGCAAGAATGCAGGATACAAGATCTCGGGAACCGAGTATGGCGTTCAGTGCTTCTGTGGAAACTCCATGCACAACGGCGCCACCCCCACCGCCCAGACAGAGTGTAGTATGGACTGCCCGGGCAACCAGACTCAGAAGTGTGGTGCTGGAAACAGGTTGAGCATCGTATCAGAGGGCGCTCCTC